TATATGAACCTTTTAAAAAAAGCTATAGTTCTCTCTGAAAAGGATCGACAAACAGTAGTTTTTCATCAAAATTTTAAGAGTACCTTTTGCATGCAAACGCTGCAAAGGATTTGCCAAAAGATAAAGCAGAATAATTTGACGTTTCAAGAGATTCATGAAATAGAAAAATTTTCCTCTTTGTAGAAAATACACATGAATGTCTCTATAATATTCGAAATTGATAAATGAGTTTAAATTAAGAAAATATTAAAAAGAGAAATTATTATCGACTGTGGAAGAATTTCTTTTTGTCTAATAATAAAAAACAATATTTGAAAAATGCTATATTATTTTTGTATGTGTTTGAAATTTAATTAAATAATTTATTGTCTTGTGTATGTTCATCAAAGTCGAGGTTGAATAATTTTTTTATACCTGTTTGTGTATAGCTTGCCGTCACTACGTGGTGAGTTCAAATTAATTAAGCTGTCTAGCGGTTTTGTGAGAATGTATTATACACACCAGTTCATAATGCATTATATTGGGAAAACCACACAAACAGTATTCGAAATATTTTTGCTATACTTCATGGATGCAACTCTGCATTCACATTTTGTATAGTCATAATAAATTCGATAGAACAATATTGATCATTAATTAAAAAGTTTAATTACTTTTAAGTCAAAATTTCAATTAATTACTTTGTTCTGATAATTAATTAAATGGTTTCCATTGCAATATTTGAATGTAATTAAAAGAAGGGCGGGCACCACTTGTAACCTTAAAAAATCGAGTATTTTTATTCTGCAATTTTTTTAATTAATTCTTGCAAAAAGCTTTTTTACGTTACTACTGGTTTACCTCTTTAAGATAAAAATTATTTCCTCTTTTAATGTCTGTCATTAATATTTGTAAATTGTGACACATCATAGCGACGTATTTTATAATTATAAAATAATATTTTGTAAAGTTAAAATCTCAATCCTTATTTTCTTGTAATCAAAGCAATATTGATCCGAAGTCCTTACTTGAATAGCAGTTACCAAATATGGTCATTTGTATTTTGCCACCCTTCTATTGGGTGCCCACTTGCCTGATACAGGAATTAAAATTTAACTCTTTAACGACCAAATGTGCTGATTTTAAACTTCTATTTCAAGCTCTTAATATTAGAAGAAAAAAATTATTAAAACTTCTGAAATCACATATCCATGTTTTTGGGGTCGCTCTTTCGAATGGCATTGACAAAATTTCCAAAAAGTGACATTTACCCCTTATTTTTTTCCAAAATACTAAAAAAATACAAAATTTTGGAAAGTAATTTTTTTCAAATCCAATTTTAGTTGTGATATTGATTTTTCCAGGTCACCTAAAGTATACAAAACGTGTTCCCGATAGTTTTAGTTTAAAAATATGCTTCGCGTTTTAAGATTTTTTGTTTTTTTTACTTCAAAATGGCGCCTGAAAATAATTTTTTTTCAAAATTTAACACAGGATGGATAAAATTTTTAAATGTTGTTGAATTCGCTTGAAACTTGTTACTCGGGGGTTTTTGGGGTCTCTGATTTCGAATCTGAAGTCAGATTTTCAAAATTCAAAATGGCGGAACCAATTTATCGGAAGACAAAATAAAAACATCGTCGTATTTGATTGAAACTTGTTACTCGGGGGTTTTCAGATTTCTGATTACGAATCTGAAATCAGATTTACAAAATTCAAAATGTCGGATTAAATATGGTGGACATGAAATCTAAAAATCGACTGAATTCGTTTGAAACTCGTTACTCTGGTGATTTTGGGGTCGAAGATTATGAATCTGAAGTCAGATTTTCAAAATTTAAAATGGCTGACCCAATATAGTGTACACATTGAGATATAAATGATGAAATACAAATATATTGTAAAAAATGTACGTTAAATGCTCTTAGCCTTTGACTATATAATAAATAATTTTTATGGGCTTGTTTAAGGGTGGGGTAAGGTTTAAACGGTGAAAAAAGCATGTTTTTAAGGATTTTTTTTGGCGATACGCAGAAAGTTAATTTATTGTATCGCTTTGCAACATTTGAACAATATTTCCCTAAATTTTAATTAAGAAATGTTAATAATTGAGCGGAATAATGAGTTTTTCCTCAGGCACCTCCAAAAAAATTGATTTGCGGTGTAGACTCTAACTAGCAATAGAATCATCTAAAACAAAAAAATCAAGGTGCATTTGTTAAAGGAGATGTTTTTTGACGTAACGCTGGGAGGAATTTTTCTTTTTATTCTTCGATTTTTTGTAGCACTTGAAAGCTAAAAAGTAGATTTTCGCTATAAAAAATTGATTAATTTGTTATTGTAAAATTGGTAATTTGAAAAAAAATTCCTCCCAGCGTTACCTCAAAAAACATCTCCTTTAACAAATGCACTTTCATTTTTTTGTTTTGGATGATAATGTTGCGAGTTAGAGCATACACCGCAAATCAATTTTTTTCTTGGAGTCGCCTGAGGAAAATCTCATTATCTCGCTCAATTCTTAATATTTTTAAATTAAAATTTAGCGAAATATTGTTCAAATGTTGCAATATTAAAAATATTGTAATATTAAAACAACTGTTACAGTAATGTAACGAGGTTTTCTCCAATTCGTACAACTTCTCGCGGTGAGAATCGGAATACTTCCTATTTTGAAAATCTTACTTCAGATTCACAATCACCAACCCAAAAAACCCCCGAGTCACGAGTTTCGAGCGAATTCAGTCGATTTTTAGATTTCATGTCCGCCATAATGGATCCGCCATTTTGAATTTTGTAAATCAGAATTTACAAATTTTACATTCTTAATTGGGAACCCCGAAAACCCCCGAGTAACAAGTTTAAAGCGAATGCAGTCGATTTTTAATTTTCCTGTCCGCCATATTGGATCCGCCATTTTGAATTTTGAAAATCTGACTTCAGATTCGTAATCAGCGACCCCAAAAACTCCCGAGTAACAAGTTTCAAGCGAAATCAACAACTTTTGAAAATTTTATCCATCCTGTGTTAAATTTTGAAAAAAAATTTATTTTCAGGCGCCATTTTGAATTAATAAAAACAAAAAATCTTAAAACACGAAGTATATTTTCAAACTAGAACTATCGGAAACACGTTTTGTATACTTTAGGTGACATGGAAAAATCAATATCACAACTAAAATTGGATTTGAAAAAAATTACTTTCTAAAATTTTGTATGTTATTAGTATTTTAGAAAAAAATAAATGGTAAATGTCACTTTTTGGAAATTTTGACAATGCCATTCGAAAGAGCGACCCCAAAAACATGGATATGTGTTTGCAGAAGTTTTATTAATAATTTTTTTCTTCTAATATTAAGAGCTTGAAGTAGAAGTTAAAAATCAGCACATTTGGTCGTTAAAGGGTTAATAGAACTGATCCAAAGGTAATAAAAGTGGGTGGCATGACGTAGTCGTGTATGTTTAGCAATCGCCAAGTTAACTAGTTGTGTACTGTCATCGAGTTTGTTTTTCCACTCCAGTCCAGAAAATCTTTTCAAGTACCAAGTGCCTTCTTCGAGTGTAGTCCTAGTCAAATTCATTCAAGGAGATAATTTCTACTGCGAGGAACATTTCTGTTTCTGTAAGGACTGCATTACCTAAACATCAATGTCAAATTAATAATTCGGTCACTCCTAGGCTCAGGGGTGTTTTATTTAATTTACATCGACACCTGGACTCCGAACCTTTCACTTTGGCTGTCCTGAAAACCATTTGAGGGAAACCACACTGAAGGAGGTATCTCTTGTTGGGTCTGCGACTCTGAGAATAATTTTAAAAGGTAAGAAACTAACACTTTTAAATTTATCACCATTTATATTCTCGATTGATTCCATAAAGTTCTTATATATAATTTAGGATATGTTTAGTTTTCTTCTTAGATATAACAACTGCGTTAAAAAAATTTAAGATGAAATTTCAAATTTCACTGCGGTTCTGTTTATACAAGTGTTGATAAAAAATGGCACATTTCGAATATGCTGACCGAAAATGTTTTATAAGGGAAAATCGACAAAATACCTGGACATCTAAAGAGCACGAATGCCATCGAAAATAAAATACGAAAAAACAGACAACAAGTAGGAGTGGAATGAGTGAGCAAAAATAGGAAGCGTAATGTACGAGCGCCAACACGAATTTGGAATAACGAAATTCCGCTCCATGGGATAAACTGATTTTCGATGGGTCGCGATATAAACGTTGATTCACAACGTTCAGATTTTGTCGACGCCAGCACTGAAGCCGGATTGTGGAATTAGCGTCCTGATTGTGTCCAACATTTTGGCTCGTTTAAAATGTATGAAGTTATTTCCCTACCTTTGCTTTTCTTGTTGCTTCCGATCACAAGAGATACGAATAGCTTAAGTGGATTAAAAGTTTCTTTTTTTTTCTAGATTCACTTTCAAATCACCTTTTTCTTATTTCTCTTATATTCAACTTCAAGAGTCTTTGGCATATAACGTTTAATTTTATTTGTCATGATGGTAATTTTTGAGTGGAGAGTAAAATGATGTTGACACATTAAATTAGAGAAAGAAAAGAGTTAGCTATTTTTAAACTACTATCATATTTATACAATTACTATATGAACGTGGTACATAAAAATATTCAGAAGACGTCTTTTCTCTTATCGTTATCTACACTTCCAACAATTTTCGAAAACAAGAATATTGTATAGATGCCGGTAATTATTTTCTTCATTCCGTACTACTTCCGAATAATTCCGGATTCACTAGTTATGCAGATCGGATTAATTCCATATGACAGAAAACTGACCACAAACCCATCTGTTGTAAACTAATTACAAATTAATCCAGAACTAGTATTGATTAGTATTAGCTGATAAATATGACTCTTGATTAAGTGCATGAACAGGATTTTTTTTACCTCTTTTCACAGTTCAATTGTAACCGATATTTAAAGTATTAAAGTAATCCATGTTCCCTCCGAATATAATAAAACGTTAAATAAAATAAAAATTAATACCTTTGGGTCTCATGATTCGCGGATATAAGATGTTTCCTGAAGAATCAGTTGGAAATACGAGGGAATTATAATCTATAATTTCTGCAATAAAAGAAAGAAAATAATAATTCAATAAACTGCATAAATTAGAATAAATCATAAATTAATTAAAAATTAACAATAAAGTGATGGAAATGAAATAGAGAAAAAAAGTTACTACTCTAAAAGGAAAAAAAAATAAATAAACAAGAAGAAAAAAACCAAGGAAAAATATTAATGAAAGTAAAGATACTCAAAGTCTCCATGAACCTTACCGCAATCCTTTTAGGCGTCTAATCGAATTATTGGAAACGGGCCAACCGTCGAAGCGTGATGCATGCTTGGAAAGGTACGAAGAAAAACTAGAACTTATATATTTACAAACGTGTTGAGAAACTAAGAAGAAAAAAGCAAACGGGAGTATAGAAAGAAAGGATACGATTGTGTACAAATGTCAAGCAATGAACCGGTGAATTCGGGAAAAGGAAATAAAGGCGGAAGTAGAGCGAATAGCTTGATGGGTTTTCCGATACGATACGTCGCGACGCGATGAAAGTTCCGTCTCTGAATGGTCGGGGCGAGGCTTTTCCAACTCTCAAAACTTTTCCGCGAATTCAAACTGTCGGAGATACTTGGAGGGAACTTAGTTTCAAGAAGGGAAAAGCCTTTCGCAACAAAAAGCTAAAATATAAGCGCAAGATTCTTCTGCATTTTGAGAGGGAAAAAAAATTTCAAAATCGTACCTTCAATAATATTAAAGGGTCGTACTAGAAATATCATCGTACTATTATTATTTCATAGAAAAAATTAATTTTCACTACAAATAAAATATGAAAAAGGCATATAATATTGGGAGAGCAATTTTTAACCACTTGAGCGGCAGGGCGTCAGAATTGGCGTCAGCGTGCAAGTGACAGAAGCGGCAAAAATGCGAAAAAGGCGTCAAAATTTGACTACTATTTTCTCATTCTGTAAGGAGATTTATAATATCACAACAAAGTATTTTTCTTTCTTAAAGTGAAAGAACAGACCTGTAAGCAAAAAAAATGTTTTTTAAAATATTTAAATAAGTTTTCAAGGATCAAAGCTAACAATATTTAATAGTTTGATATTAGTGGCGTTTCAATTTCTACCACAAAAAGTCCAATTTTTCTTCACGAAATCGAAATATTTAAAAAAGCATTTTTTTGTTTAAAGATCTGCTCATTTACTTTAAAAAAGAAAAATACTTTGTTGTGATATTATAAATCTCCTTACAGAATGAGAAAATAGTAGTCAAATTTTGACGCCTTTTACGCATTTTTGCCGCTTCTGTCACTTGCACGCTGACGCCAATTCTGACGCACTGCCGCTCAAGTGGTTAAGGATAATTCTTACCGCTTTGTTCAGTAGCTCTCGGAGTGGGATGAGTCGTATGTCCCGGAAAAACAATGTCTATTTATAGCAGCAGAAGAAAGAGAAATAATTTTTTTATCAATAGGTGCGAAATATGTTAGTAGGAAAAGTCTTACTATGAAAAACGAGAGAATTCTGAAAATTAAAACAATTACCTTCGGTCTTAATGGTAAAAATATTGCTGTGAACACCGTCGCCTAGGGCATTTTTTCCGAATACTTGAAATTCATAGGCAGAGCCAGGCGTCAAGTTGCCTATCGTCATTGAAGTACTTCCCGAAGGCGTTACTGGAATTGTTGTCCACTCGACGGTATTCGCTTCCCTGTACCTAATTTAAATTAAAATATTAACATTTGACCTCAATTTTCCAACATAGGTATCAATTCCATATGAAAGAATTAAAAATTGAGAAAATAAATGTAATTTCAAGAAAAGTTTTGGAGAACGTAATTATTACCAGACTGTGTAATCTTGCTTATAATCTGGACCTCCTGAGTATCCTGGAGACCACGACAACTTGACCGAAAATTGAGTTGCGGTTCCGGTAATATTAAATGGAGCATGCGGTTGGGTTCCTTCAATTATAAGCTGTGTGGAAGCAGTAATAGTTGCAACTTCGTTCGAAGCCACGCACTGATAGTATCCAAAGTCTTGACGACGAAGACTATCAATAGTTAGATTACCCCCAACAATCTTTGCCCGATTTCGTTGGATTCCAATGCCGTCCTTCTGGTGCAAGACAAAAATATTTATGGATTACATCTGGGTATTTAAAAACTTTGTCTAGGAAGAAAATTATTATTTCTAAACAGATTTTTAAGTTCAATGAATTCTTTTGATCAATACTAATATCTAAGGAATCGAATATCTAAAATCGTTTAAAGAATCTTACTCTCTGCCAGGTAATAGAAGGTTTTTGAGTTCCCTCTCCTTCTTGAGCGTCACAGTGCATTTCTACAGTTTCTCCAACTTTCTTCTGATAGGTAGCTTCAGGTTCGGCAGTAAAGACCGGAGGATTCCTGACCAACACCTCCATTTGTCCTGAACTACCTTGTGTTCCTTGAGCATTGTAAGGTGTACAAGTGTATTTTCCCTGATGGTTCTCGTTGACTCTAGTGAACAATAAGGAACCGTTGTTCATCACTACAATATCTTTTGTCTGATAGGGTTCCAATAATCTCTTGTCCTTGGTCCAAGTCACATACTGTACAGGGGGATTTGCTTTAACATAACACTGTACAACGCCTCCTAAACGAAAAGGTAGATACTGGACGGTCGGTGTAAACGTAACCTTAGCTGGATCTGTTTGCAGAAATTTGGATAATTTTACAAATTAAAACTATACGTTTCTGGAGAAATGATAGAAAACCTACATTCGACATTTAAATAAGCGCTGGCTGTTTGTGGTTCTCCAATTCCGTTAGTGACTTCGCAAAGGTATTGTCCAGAATCTTCAGCGCTAACGGGATTTATCACAAGACTCCCATCCATTCGGACGGAAGCTCTTGTGTCCAGTGCTGAAACTTCTGTTACTAACGCACCTTCTCGATACCAGCGTACTGTCACGTTACCTGGAAGAGCCTTCGCTTCGCAGGAGAATTGAACCTTCTCCCCTTCGAGCTTTGTTTGATTTGTTGGTGGAACCATGATGACAGCACCGCCTGAAACAATAAACAAAAGTTTATATATATCTCCCCAGATTTTAAGGAAAACAAAAATTTAATTTAGTGGAAAAACATTTTTATTTTTATATCGAAATTCTAGCAATCAGATTTACCTGGTAAATGTATAAACGAAATATACTAATATCATAAAAATAGCTTTGTAGTTCCTCCATTTCTGGAATAAGGTTAAAAGCTTCCAGGCAGAACACGGTAGAACCACTTCGGTAATAAAAATAAAACCCTTTCGGAAGAATTTGTAGTAAGACCAGATTGGAGACATTATAACACCGATTTGGAAAGAATTCTAGAATGAGGCGGAGCTTCTCTCTCTAGTAATTAATCACTGGTGGGGCGGCGCGTGCGCTATAAACTTGACGCTACTACCGTAACCTAATTTAATTTACAAATAAAATTTCTATTATATTCTAAATTAATTCGAAAATTTGTCAATTATGCTACTATAATGATAAAACTTACAAAATAATTAAAATACTACTAATTTAATGGGTGAATAAATTTATACACCTAAATAAATCGACTAGAGTTAATATAAAATTTTCATTGAATGTTAAATTAAATGTTCCTATTTCTTCATGTAGTGGTAATAAATATCTTTGAATAACAACATCGATGAGAAAGCACTTTGAATTTCTTCTTCTCCATCTCTTGCGTTGGAAAACCGAGAAATAGTAGGAGCTTAACAGTGGTCCATTTATCTTTCTTTGTAGGAAACTGATTTGATTCCGATGCAATTCAGCAATGAAACCGAGGCAAGGCTCGAAAGCTCCACATCACAGAGGATATCGCATTGAGAGTTGCGCGTAAAGATAACTCGATTAAACTCTCTGACAGCTTCTTTCCAACGAATCGATTGTGCAACATGTTTGTGTCGAGAAATTCAAATATGAATCTAAATTCATACACCTATCTGGTAAACGGAGTCTTAATCTTTGAATAATATTCAAAAATCCATACACGAAGAGAAAAGTTGTAGTTGATTCTACTTAACACGTTTAGTAAGTCAGTATGTAGTAATAATAACTGAATATTCAGTTACATTTAGAAAACATCATTTAGTTTCGTTTAGTCGATTTTACTAAACAGTGTTGTCGAAGACACTGAATGCTTAGTTAAACTCACAGAACACTGCGCAGTACACTGTTTTTTAGAAATTTTTTCAAAATTTTTTGCAGGTTAGTTTCGATATTCACAAAGTGCTTATTTTGAGGTTAGAAATTGAACGAAACGCTTCTATTATTGCCAAACATTTGTTTACCAATAGTAATGCAGTTTTCTATATTTAATTTGAAAAATAATTTCTGTAGTGATTACAGAAAAAATCAACATAAACTCTTAAAAATATGCAAATTAACTGCTCGAAATTGTTGTGATAATTATGTTTTTGTTTTCTGTTAAAATATACAAATTTCACGTTGACTTTCTACTACTATTAAAATTATTGCAAAATTAAATGTAGAAAATAATATTTCAATATTTTTACATTTTACTAAACAGTTTAGTCCATTTGACTTTTTGTGCAGTTGAATTAACTTTTTCCTGAGTAGTCACAATGACTAAACGCCCGAGTAAACGCCTGTTTAGTAAATCCTACTACCAGTTTAGTCGGTCCAAAATCGACTATTCTGTTTAGTACATTTAACTGTGCAAGTAGTTAATCTGACTACGCCATTCTCTCCGTGTAAGTTGATACTTTATTGTTTAAATAAAAACTATTTTTTACTACACAGGGATGAATTTTACTGTTGATCATGCATGCGAGGAGGGGGAGAAGTCGATGTCTTTCATACTAGTCAGATAGTAGCGGGAGTAAATGCTCCCCAGGGAGCAAATATAATGGTGGATAGACAAAACAGGCGAAATCGCTGTTTTCTGATTGGTCGATAATAGCGTGAGCAAAAATGATGTTGGATAGAGAAAACATAAGGAACAGTTTTTTCTCTTTTTAGTTGGTTTGGTTGGCCCCGACCGGGACGCTGCTTCCGAACCTCCCCCCCCCCCGCGCGACCTTACAGGGGCGTAAGTTTAAATGTATTTTGGTACATTACTATGTGAAAAAATATCTGTGAGGCTTTTCCTTTCATCACAAAATTCCTATCATTGTGGTAAAAAATTGTACTATAATAATCTTCGAATTCATTTTTTCATTCTACCCGTAGCACCTGCAGTTTTCTTCTTAAGAGAGAAAGAAAACTTTTAGCTTTGGTTAGAGAGAATAAAAAAGGAGAATTGTGTTGTTTATTTATTGATTGGCGATCCTTTTCGAGCAAGGTTTATGAACAGGTACCTGGATTTTGGAAAGATTTCATAATTTTTAAATGTATTACATTAGTTTCGTTTGTTGTCTCAGATGAAGAGCATTTTGAAATACGAAGCAAAAAGTAAAGTTCAATATTCATTAAAGAATTTTCAGGTGTTTTTCTAATGGCTTGAAAATAATTGTTCTTGACGCTGCGACTGAATATTTCAGTCACTGCGCTTGAAAAACTCTTGAACTATTTAAGAAGGAAGATGTAGCGTAACCTATAGAAATATAGCGCCTGTTGGCTTTAAATATGATTCAATGCCCTAATACCGTAACGCGTCCTGTAGCCGAGTGGCATAAGGCGGAGAGAATAATTTCTCAAAGTCTCGAGGTCTCAAGTTCGACTACTCACGCAGGCAAATTTTTTTCCTTATTTTAAATTTTTCTATTCTTAAACCAGTTCAGGAATTTTTCAAGAAAATCCAATAAGCTGTCCAGAAATTAACTACAGTTCTCCCCAAACAGCTTAAAATAATATTTCAAACAGCATTCAATAATATTTTTTGTTTTTTTCTATATCCTGAGTTCTTGAATAAGTTTCGTAATGATTCTTGAAAAAAGTTTTCCGTGTAGTCTGGAGTCCAGTGATTGCCCCAACTAGTCGCATCTGGACGGTCTAACTGTATTCGATATGGGATTTATCTGGCCGGTCTAATATACACGGAAAAAAAAAGTTCACGAATCTCTCGTGAACTAGTATATCACTTTTGGATGGGACACAAAATTTCAAAATTTTCATTCACTTTTGATTAGAAATGGCGAACGTCAACGAAAAACTGAAACAAAGTTAATGAATTTTTGATGAACTGTTAATGAAGAGTAGTTCGTCAAAAGTAGAGGTACAAGTTCACGAAAAAATCGTGAACTCGCGAGTGTCAGTAGTATGCGCAGTTCGTAATGCGCATCAAATATGACTGATCAAGCATTCATCATTCAGTCGGTGTCATCGGTGTTTACATTCGGGCAAATTCTTTGATGAAAGTTATTATTTAGAAACAGTGTTTTTTATTATTTAGTGAATATTTTTGTGTGGTAATTTCTTTTGTGAAACAAATAATTCATAAAATAAGTTAAAGGTGACGACAAGGGTCTTTTTCTACTTTGTACGGTCCTGAGTTTTACAGCAGACAAAGCTAATCGTTTCGTTTGTCGAAGGACAGTGTATCTAGATTTAGCCGTGGCGGTTACTTGTTAGAAATATTATGTTATAGGGTATAGTTACTAGGTTCGAATCCCGTGAAGCGAATTACGAATTTTAATGGCGATAAAATTGTGTATTCTGTGTAGTTGGATGCGTAATAGGCGTCAAGTTATCAAATAAAGTGAAATACTATAAAAAAGTAGTGTCTGGAAATTATTTTTTCTTGTTTTTAGCATTTTTTAAAAGTTCACGAATTTTTCGTTAACTTTGACGAAAAGTTCGGAAACCGTACTATGTTTCTAGTGAAGGAGTTGATGAAATTTTGACGAACTGTGTTTGTTGATTTTCAAGAATTTTTTGTCCCATCCAAAAGTGATATACTAGTTTACGAGAGATTCGTGAACTTTTTTTTCCGTGTAGACTGTCTAACTGTATGCTATATGGGACTTCATTGGCATCACTAGAATTCAAAATTTATTAAGTACAATCAAGACTTTAGTGCCCGATTTGTCGGTCTTCTTTGAATTTATACATGCGCAATGGGTTGTTACTTCAAAATTGAATGGAATAATTTAGTCAATCTAAAGAATCGTTCAGAAATAAATATTGTAGGTTTATATGAATTATTATAAATAAAAATAAAATTTAAATCTATACGTTATAAATTATTTAATGAACAATTTTACTTAGAAATTTCAAAATTGAATTTTATTAGAGTTACGTTTACAATTTTTATAAATAAATTCAAAAGGTTTCGATTTGAAATTTTATAAAGTTTTAATTTTGAATGAATTCAATTAAAAATTTTAAAGAACTTAGATTTTTGAAAAATGTGTAATAACCCAATGGGAAATTTGCAACTGGCGTAGTACTGCGCCAGCACTGGCAGCACTGGCGGCAAGGCTGAGAGCCAGCACTGGCATGGCACTGGGATGATAACGCCGTCTGGCGCTGCCGAAGTACTGTCTGTCAGTGCTGCCAGACAGCGCTGGCGCAGTGCTGGCTGAGAATATTGCCGCAATAAATGCCGTATTGTTATTAATTAGTCGTAAATTCATAATTATAAATAATTTAACAACAAAATGGTAAATAATATTAATAAATAGTTATTATTCATAAAATATTTCTCTTCTTAAAGAAATTGTATTAAAGATGGAGACTAACAATGGATATAGTAAATGAAGTAGAAAAAAATTGTTTATAACATTTAAAAATTAAATAATAAACAATTACAGTAAGTGTGCATTAGATTTTCATATTTTAGTACCTAACGATTGGAATCTAGAAATATCGCAAACCTATGAAAATAAACAAAATTGCTGACGAGGGGAATCGAACCTACGACCTACGGACTAACAGACTAACGCTCTAACCACTATGCTAACGACACATGTGTACAGTAAAGTATTAATATCTCAGTATCATTCAGACATACAATATTATTGAGTCAAAGATGAGAAAAAAATAGGGATACGTTAGAAATAATAAATTGAAATAAAATAAATTGAACTAAATTTTTAATAATTAAATTAC